TGAGACAGTGTCCCTCTATGTAGCCCTGACTGTCCTATAGCTCACTATGTAGAACAGGCTGGCCTTGAACTCAGCTATCTTCCTGACTGTTAAAAAGAAATCTTTTAAAAAACATATAAATTGTGCTTATTTATGTATCTTATGAGTGCTCAGTCTACATGCCAGAAGAGGGCATCCGATTCCATCATAAATGGCTGTGAGCCATTATGTAGGTGGTGAGTATTGAACTCAGGATCTCTGAAAGAACAGCAGTGCTCTTAACCACTGAGGGATCTTTCCAGCCCCCTTGCCTAACTTTCAATGTACATCTTGGAAAATGCTTTCCTCTTCCCTTGGGCCCTGAAGACTATTCTTATACTGGAGGCCCCAGTAAGGATAAGCTGAAATGTAGTCTAAAATAAGCAGTCTTCTCATTTCTTACCTCTGCATCCCCTCCCAAATCTAAGGCCTCATGCCTGCTACACCACTGAACTATACCCAAGTCCCAGTATTGTCGTTTCTGACATCCCTATCAGATACTGCCCCTTGAAATAGCCATGCAAAATAACCCAAGCCCAGAGTTTCATTTCTTAGCACTACCTAAAACAAGACAGTGAAGACACACAGGACTGTAATACAATCCAAGCCACTCCAGAGGTGGAAGCTGGAAGAACAGGACAGGAATTCAAGGAATAACTGCTTGTCACTGGAATGAAGCTGATTATGAGGGAGTCTCAGTTAAGTGAGAGATGCTATACACCACACATGTTTCAGGCAAGGAAATAGAAAGTCAGACAATGTTGGTGACATTCCTAGGCATTCTGGGATCCTACCATATTCCTATGGTTTTTACCAGTCACTGGAGAGGAAGGTGGGACCACTGTCTTTGCTCGTCAACACTTTCTAATCCTTTAAAAGCTCCCTCTACTGAACAGAATTAGTGCCTGCAGTTCTCTTCAACTAAGCTTCCAGCACTTAATGCCAATTACTCCATTACCCTCAGCACAGACACCTTCCTCTAGCACCAGGGCGCGCGTGCACGCATGTGTGTGTGTGTGTGGTGTCCATCCATAGCCTCAGCCCAGAGTCAAACATACAGAGAAGACAAAAGAATGTCTTCAGAAAAAAATCTGAACATTCAGAGAAAAAGAAAACAAACCTTGATCATGTCAAACAAAATGCTAATACCTTACTAAGGGAATCTTGACTTTATTTTTATTTTTTTTTTGAGATATGGTGGGTGAATTTTTTTTTTCCTTCAGTTTTTTTGAGACAGGGTTTCTCTGTGTAGCACTGGCTGTCCTGGAACTCTGTAGACCAGGCTGGCCTCGAACTCAGAGATCTGCCTCCTTCGGCCTCCAAGTACTGGAATTAAAGGTGTGAGCCATTACAAGATTTGTCCTTGAACTCTTACCCTCCCTCTTGCCCCATACTAAAGTGGTAAGAAGTCTTTTGCATGGTTGTTTGTACTCATGAGCTCTGATGTGTCTCACATCAGAAGAAGCCCTCAGAAGTCCTGATCTTCTTGGCTTTATTCATGTCAGAGTCTCACTGAACTTGGAGCTAGGCTGACAGTCAGCAAGTCCCAGCAAACCTCCTGTCTTCCTGATATCTCTTATTCTGAAGCACTGATTTCTCAACCTTCCTAATACTTCAACCCTTTAATACAGTTCCTCAGGTTGTGGTGATCCCAATCATAAAATTATTTTCATTGTTACTTCATAATTGTAATTTTGTTACTCTTATGAGTCATAATGAAAATATCTGTGTTTTCGAGTGGTCTTAGGCAACCCCTGTGAAAGGGTCATTCAACCCCCAAAGAGTTGTGACCCATGGGTTGAGAACCACTGTTCTGAAGGGTTTTTGTTGTCTTCAATGTTTTCTGAGGAGGTCATGTAATGCCAGGTTGGTCTGAAATGCATGATCACTCCTTCAGTCTCACAGGTGCTAGAATTACAGGCATTTGTCACCTTTTTGATAAGATACATTCTAATTCTAAAATTTGGGAATTCTGCATCTTTATCAATCATCATTTCAATGTACTAACTACAGAGATAGCAGAATAAAGCAAGACATGGTTAGACAGAAGTGGGATTCTAGAAACAAGAGACCAAATTTTATATTAAAAGGCCAACTGTGGTGATATAAATCAATAAGTCTAGCTTGGCAGTGGTGGTACACACCTTTAATCCCAGCACTCGGGAGGCAGAGGCAGGCGAATCTCTGTGAGTTCGGGACCCGCCTGGTCTACAAGAGTTAGTTCCAGGACAGCCTCCAAAGCCACAGAGAAACCCTGTCCTGAAAAACAAAAAAAATCAATAATCCTAGTAGTTTGAGAAGCTGAGGCAAGAGGATTAACTGTAAATTCAAGGATAGTCTAGGCTATATAGCAAGCTCAGAACTACTGTGAATTACATAGCAATACTGTGTCAGAATAAATTCTGGGGCTATTGAAATAGCCCAACAGGTAAAGGTCCTTGTAGTCTTGCCTAATGATTTAATAACACAGTGAAGAGAACTGACCAATACAAGCTGTCCTCTGACCTCCACAGCTGTAGCACATGCATAGCCACACCCAAAATACATTTTTAAATGAAAAAAAAAAAGATTAAAAACTAATTTTACGGGGCTGGAGAGATGGCTCAGAGGTTAAGAGCACCGACTGCTCTTCCAGAGGTCCTGAGTTCAATTCCCAGCAACCACATGGTGGCTCACAACCATCCGTTATGAGATCTGGTGCCCTCTTCTGATGTGCAGATATACATGGAAGCACAATGTTGTATACATAATAAATAAATAAATAAATAAATAAATAAAATCTTTTTAAAAAAATTTTACTAGCTAAAACAAAAAGGGTTTTGTTTGGTTTATTTGTCACTTGTGTAGGTATACCCAATTGTCAGGTCCCATGACTTCCTACATGGCAGAAGGGGGCAGAGAGATTCTGAAGAACCTCAGAGTTCTCCTTTATCTCTCAGACCTAAGCGACCTTCCAAGTCCAGGAAGATCAAGGGCTTCTCAGAGTCAGGGTACTGGGCAATGGTTTAATCTAGATAGTAGTTTCTGAAAACTTTTTTTGTTTGTTGTTTTTTTGAGACAGGCTGGCCTGGAATTCACGGAGATGCTACTGCCTCTGCCTACCCAGTACTGGAACTAAAGGTGTGAGCCACCACTGCCCAGCTAATTTCTAGGAACTTCTAAAGCACAGAGACCTGAATTCCTCCTATTTCTGGCTAGCTTTGAAGAACAGTATCTTTTTTGATCCTCAACGTGCTTAAGTATATGTAGCCTAGCATTTATAAAGTTTAGGATCTTATCCCTAGCATTGCATTAAAAAAAGAAAAGAAAAAAGAAGGTTCTATGCAATGTACAAGCCACCCAGAATCTTGGAATATTCAAACTGATATACAGCCACAAACCTAGTTCATCTGAAATCTAGACAAGCTAGAGAGTTTGTTTTGTTTCTTTGAGACAAGGTCTCATGTATCTCAGGCTGGCCTTGAATTAATTTCCTATGTAGCTGAAGAGACAACTTCTGATCATTATGCTCCTTCCTGTACTTTGAAGTAAACTGAGATTTCAAGCTTGTGCCACCATACCCAATGTATTCACAGTGCTAGTGATTAGACAAGAAATCTACAAACCAAGAGTTACATCCCTAGCTCCGAGAACTGGAGAAAAATTCTCAAGAGAAAACCAGAAAAACAGTGTCTGAGTGCAGGGAGAGATCTTATTGGCACCTGTGCCACTGACCCTATCCCGTATATGGTAATTTTACTCCAACAATTTGAGGAAATAATCAGGGAACAGGCAGATAAAAAACCAGTGACTTTCTGCATCCTGGCCCTGTCAGTCATCCTAAGAGACTGAGCACTCTGCTTGCAGGACCAAACTGCTTCTTAGTCCTTATAAGAACTGTGATACACAAGCCATTAATGGGCCAGAGAATTTAAGCTGACAAGAATCACTTTCCATAGAAGTCCTAGGAGCTTCTCTACACTAGTCCCTTAATCACCACTCAAACAGAAGTGTGTTTTTTTTTTTTTTTTTTTTTTTTTGTGTGTGTGTGTGTGTGTGTGTGTGTGTTCTGAAACAGGGTTTCTCAGTGTAGCCTTGGCTATCCTGGAACTCACTGTAGACCAGGCTGGCCTCAAACTCATAGATACCTCTGCCTCCCAAGTGCTGGGATTAAAGGCATGCACCACCACGGTATGGCCAGAAGTGCCTTTTCAAAGCCTGCTAATAGTAACTGGTTAAAACACCCCTTCTTCAGGAACTCAATGTGATGATCTAAGGTGCCATTTTTAAGGTAAGTTTTCAAGGCCCGGCCAGCTTCTTGACTGTTCACAGGCAGCTCCAGCACAAGTGAAGAGAAACCAAACATTCTATGACCTCCAGCTCTGCAACCAGCTTCAAAAGGTAAATACAGTCTAAACCAGAGCTCTAATCACAGGGTTCCTTCCACCTCTTCTTGTCCACCATTAGTCTCAAGGACCTCAAGCTTGGAGTCCACTTCTTCACACACTAAATTCCTACCTTATCACTTTATTCTTAAGGAGTCAACTTTCCCTCGAGCTATGCTACACTCACTCTAGGAGATTCTGATGTATTTCAGAATTGGGCTGTGCTTGAGGAAAAAAAAAAAAAAAAAAACACCCTTGGTAGCTCACACAACTAATTTCACAGTTTTGGCACCCTTCCTCCATTATAACAAAGTCAGGCAACCGACCCCAAAGCTGGAGCCTAGTCATGGATAAAGAAGGGCGGAGGCTGGGCCTACCACCGGGAACTGCCTCTCCAAAGACACCAGGTTCAGATTTTCTAAGTCTAACTAGAGATAAAGTCCCACGAAGCATCCCCTCCCGCCCCAGATTCCCTAGTCCTGTCCTCCAGAGTATAAGTTTCGTGCACTCCCAGCAGGCAATCAGGCAGAGAAGCGTTCACCTACATCCTAGCCGGGCTATGGTTTGGAACCGGGTAATGGTCCCAAGCCCCAGCAGCGGCAGGCGGGCAACCCTTACCCATGCTGGCTCTGGAGCGAGCCGGGTGGCGTTGCCCATCCCCGGATCTTCGCCGGCCGGTGGTGGGACGTGGGTCTGGGATCGGCCCGCCAACCTGCCTGCAGAGGTTGTAGGATTCGAGCAAGCCAGGCAAGGCCACACAGGGCGGGGCCCTGAGAGCTATCCTGATCCTCCGGACCAGAGAAAAAGATCTGGCCACAGCGCAGTCCGGCGCAACAGCCAGGACACAGGGCAGCACGGACAGGCGTCCGTCAGGCTCTCAGCATTCCCCCGGCCGCGGCCGCAGAGAATCCGCGGGAGGCGGAGTCGCGCGCGACACATGGTGCGGGCCCCGCGCCTCTTCGGGCCGCCGGGGGGGTGTGAAGAGGGGAGGGGCCTCCCAGGGCCGCGAAGCAGAAGCTCCCGGCGGCCTAGAGCGCGGCTCCTGCGGCCCAGCCCCCGCCCCGGCGCGCTGGCCCCAACACTCACCCGTGGGGCTGGCACGATGGCGGCAGCGGCGGCGGCAACCCAGCGCGGTCTGCGACCGACTGTCCCTTCCCCCCTGCCTTCCCTCGCCCGATCCGCTGCACTCTGGGAAATGTAGTCCCTACATAACCCCCTATAGGTGTCACTGACCTTAAAGAATACTACAATCCCCAGAATGCTATTCGCGGAGGCGCAGCCACGGCTCGCAGCGCGGGAGGAGAGGCTAAATCAGGGAGGGAAGATATCGGAGCGAGCCCCTGAGAATTGTGGTCTAGCGGAAGCCTCTGGAACACGGAGTTGGCGCCAGGCAAGGATCAGGTCTCAGTCACAGCCAGATCCCAGCTGGCTTGGCCCCGCCTAAGCTGTGCAGCGGATGGTGCCTGACCCCGCCTCCGTGGGAGCGTGGTCTAGCTTGGAGCTGGCCTGGCTTGTCCCAGCAACCCCTCGGCTGTATCTGGGTCCAAAGCCTACGACTTCTTTAGACGCTCTGGCGACTACTTCTGTTCATGGTGTGGCCTTAACCCGCATGGCGAAACCCACCCTTCTCTTGTCCCAACATTTGTTGAATTAGCTCTGTGTCGAAGGAGCTACTTACCCCAAAGTTAGTTGCAAACTGACGAGGCTTTTCTTGGGCCCAAGACTCCAAAAACGCTCCTTAGATGGGCCGTAGTTGGGAAAGGTTAACCTCACTTGTACAGAGAGGGATTTTCAAAACAAAATCGTGAGTTTTGGAAGTTTTTGCTTGTTTTGCGGTTTTTGTTTTTACATTTCTAGGTTACTTATTTTTACGTTATGTACATTGGTGTTTTCCCAAGGGTGTCAGGTCCCCTGGAAGTGGAGTGACAAGACAGTTGTAAACTGCCATGTGGGTGCTAGGAATTGAACCCTGGTCCTCTGGAGGAGCAATCAGTGCTCTTAACCACTGAGCCATCTCTCCAGCCCCGAGGTTTTCTGTTTTGTTACAGCAGAGCAAATATGAATTTTTTGGTTTGTTTTTTACATTCAGGAGGGGTGAGCTATGGCATGTATGTGGATGCTAGAGAAAGCTTACAGGAATCAGTTCTTCCATCATGGGTACCTGGAAATAAGATTCTTTATTCCTTCTCGGGCAAGTTACTTTACCCATTGGGCCATCTTATTTTTATCCTCCGAATTTTCCTTTGTTTTCTGAGACAGGGTTTGTGTAGCCCTCCCTGTCCTGGAACTTGTTCTGTAGACCAAGCTGTCCTTAGACTCCGAGATCCGCCTCGGAGTTGCTGAGAATAAAGGTGTGCGTGGCCACCACCGCCCAGATCAAATTTTAATATTTATTTATTTATTTATTTTGGTTTCTTGAGACAGGGTTTCTCTGTGTGGAACTAGCTTTGTAGACCAGGCTGACCTCAAACTCACTGAGATCTGCCTCCCAAGAGTTGGAATTAAAGGTGTGTGCCACCGCCACCCAAGCAGAAATTGGTTTTTTTGGTTTTTTGAGACAGGGTTTCTCTGTGGCTTTGGAGACTATCCTGGAACTAGCTCTTGTAGACCAGGCTGTTCTCAAACTCACAGAGATCCGCCTGCCTTTGCCTCCAGAGTGCTGAGATTAAAGGCATGTGCCTACTGCCCGGCCCTTTTTTTTTTTTTTTTTTTTTTTTTTTTTTTTTTTTTTTTT